TTACTTGTGGCCTTTCCACAACATACAGCAAAGTGATTTGCTTCTTTGCAACGATTACAAGTTCTGCCTTAAGCAGGACATTTAGCTTTCACAAGCTCATGCAGTCTCCCACAGTATAAGCATGCTTCGGTAGGCTTTGACTCAGTGTGCTTGCATGACTTGTGGCTTTGAGATGTATAAAACTTTCTTGAGTTGACTTGTCAAGGGACTTGTTCCGTTCTTTTGACAGTTCTGAAGCCCTACATACGTCGATGCCTTGCTTTAGGTTGAGATTAGGCTCTCTGAGTAATCTCTCTCTTAGAGTGGAGCTGGATAATCCACAAACAATTCGATCTTTGAGTAAGGAATCTGCAAGTGTTCCAAAGTCACAGGTTTTTTCGAGAAGTCTCAATTCTGTAAGGTACTTATCAAAGGATTCTCCTGATTCCTAGTTCCTTGTAAAGAACTTGTGCCTCTCCACGGTCTCATTCTTTTTTGGATCACAGTATTCTCCAAACGCCTGAATTAATTCATCAAGTGTTCTGTCTTTTTCCTCGGTTTCGAACTGCAAAGTCTCGTAGATTTCTCGGCCCTTTGAACCGATAAGTTACAGAATAAGCTTTACCTTTCTTTCTTTTTCTTCTGTTTTGGTTGTTAAGTCGAGGTAGAGTTTAATTTCCTCCTTCCATTTTTTCCACGCGTAAGCCAAATCGTGACTTTTAAACTCAAGATTTTCTGGCGGCTTTAGCTGATCCATCTGATCCTTTTCCACTAAATACAATATTCACTGGTTGCAAATTAATTCGGATCCCACTCCTGACACCATGTAAGGATCTTGAAAGCTCAAGATTGAACAAGATTTAATATAACGATCTTTAATGTCAGCCAACGTGTAGAACGTACTAACTACGTATTCCGAGCCCGCCGACTTGTCAGCGGTTGCCAATAATACCATACATTATTACAATGTCTCGAATCTTATAATCTCTTGTAAACCATTGTTACAGTCAAACTAACCGAAGCGGTACCTCAAACTGAGGGGTACCTCAAGAGTACATTAAGATTGATGATATGAATTAACTTTTATGTTCTCTTCTGTTTGAGGTAATGTGAAGTGACCCAATAATTGGTAGTATAGACAGAATCGATGGCTGTGACATTTACTGTGGCAAGCTGTTATTCAAGAATTTGTCATTATTCCCAGCAGCTTATTACTGGTTTAAATTATTAGTCTTTTGTTCTCTGTACACATCTTGCCTAGACTAATATGCTATATGGGAGTTATGTCTACTTTKTTTGTAAAATTGGTAAAATTACCAATAAAATTACCAATAAAGTTTTCAGAAGTTTTGTCCAGATTTTATTGAAAATGAATGTGAGGAGTGATCAGTCATATTCCTTAAGAGTGTTTAAGCTTCCAAGATGAGAGCTAATAAATTTCTTGAGTGATTCATACATGATTTGTCTCCTGTAATATTGTCACTGCTAAACCCCCTGCCAAATGTCTATAAATTTCTTTAAATAGCAGCCAGGTTGGTGCTTGTTACCACTTACTATGCAGTATCAGAGTCTCCTTTTGACTTCAGTCTTACTTCTCTAAAATCTAATGGGTGTAAATGATCCATTTTCATAAAAAAAACAAAACTCTCCTCGTTATTTTAATCTGACTTCATTCAGTCTTGTTCCCAAGGGATACAAGCCTTGGGAAAAAGTTTGGTTTTTGTCCTCATTGATACTATCAGCTGTGCAGGTTCTTATGAAATTGTCAAATAACTCTCATAACTTAATAGGTTGCAAAAGGTGTATGTGATGTTTTTGGGCTGTGAGAAGGATGGATGAAGTCAAATATAATTTTTATTTGGAAAATAATTGATTCATTTAACTGTTATTATTTTAACTGGAAACTCAAAATGTTATTTGATTTTATTCACATTTAGGCAACAGGGTGGTCTTTCTTTTTTTGTACACGCCTCTCTAGTTATGGTGCAATTCTCATCTGTTGAGGGTTATGTTTTTGGGCTCTAGGAAGGATGGATGAAGTCAAATATATTTTTTAATTAGGAAAATAATTGATTCAGTTGTGATTTGTTAAAAAAACTTTTCAACCAAAACCTAAACTTCTGTGAACATTTACTTTTAGCTGAAATTGCAAATACACTGCACTAGTAGTTTAAGCTCTTAAACACTCAAAGGCAAGTAAGTATTACAAATGTACTAAATTTATTGAGATAGCAGTGACATGATTAAATTACTTTCCTTGTGCTCTTCGACTGGCCTCCTGTCTCATTCACAAAAAAGATCATCTACACCAATCACACCAACAACTATTAAAGAGTAATCAAATTGAACTCAATTGTACACCCTTTTGCATTTGGAAAACCAATCAATGTGACTTC